GCCACTATAGTTCACTCCCTTCATGTCTAGGTCCACATGAATCTTTTTGTTGTAAGCTGGAAATAAAAGCATAAAATATGGTTATCTTTCAGACTCTAGGGCAACTCTGATAGTTTTGCCTTAGCAACTGTCTGTCCTGATTTACTCTTTCCACTCCTCTATTTTTCCTCAGAAATCCTGTTTTTACTTTAATCTGCTTAATTCCTATTCTCACAGAAGCAGTAAAAAAATGCCAATTTCCTTCTTATATTGCAGCAATATTAGACTTGGTCATTCCTCTTTCAGTTTTCTCAGCTGGCTTCTTATGTTTTTAACTCCATTGATTGATTGATTCACTAATTGACCTATTCAAGTATCGATATCACTATTAAGACAAGTGTCACCTCAACCTTTACAGTTGTTTCCTTTGATTAGAATTAATATGTTTAATAAGGACTTTCATAAAAAAAAACTTTAAGCTTGGAAAGAGAAAGAAAATAAATGAATGATGAGAACTGATGTAGTAAGATATTTACCTTATGAGATAAATTTTATTTTTTTAGAGTATATCTTCTCTCTCTCCTCCATATGGGGGATAAATATATATATATTTATCATAGTTAACTTGTTTATTTTCAAATTTCAGTCCTTTCCCCTACTGCCCTCCCTTTTGGCAACTATCTGCTTGCTCTCGATATCTATGGGTTTTTTTATGTTTTGTTTTGTTTATTCATTTGTTTTATATTTTTAGATTCCACATTAAGTGAAATCACACAGTAATTGTCTTTCTCTGTCTGACTTACTTCACTTAGCATAATACCCTCTAAGTTCATCCATATTGTCACAAATAGCAAGATTTCATTCTTTTTTATTGCTGTGTAATATTTCATTTTTCTTTATCCATTCATCTGTCAGTGGACACCTAGGTTGCTTTCACATATTGACTATGACAAATAATGCTGTAATTAACATGGAGGTGCATATATCTTTTCAAATGTGTTTTTTTTTCCTTCAGTTAAATATCCAGAAGTGAAATTGCTGGGCTGTATGGCAGCTCTATTTTTAATTTTTTGAGGAATCACCATACTGTCTTCCATAGTTCCTGCAACAATTTACAATTCCACCAATAGTGTATGGTGGTGTTCAGTGTATGTCCCCTTTTCTACATATCCTCACCAACACTTGTTATTTGCTGAGTTTTTGGTAATAGCCATTCTGACTGATGTACTATGAGATAAATTTTAATAAACTATAATGGGGATAAGGGAAATGCATGTATGCTAGTTTTTACTCTAAACTGAAAGTACTTTAATAAGAGACTTTATTCCCACACAGCAGGGTTTTGTTTTATAGCCATAAAACCATTGCTGATGTAACTATATGTGTACATCATAATACCTAGTATTCATTAATTCTAATAGGATATCTTACCACTTATTTGGTGTGGGTATTGCTTGAAAGAATATCCAGAAATTGCTCCTGTCATATTCACCCTTGGCAGTGTTTCTGTAACACTGTCTTTCATGATGCAAATAAACCTTTTTTTTTTTTTTAAATAACATTACTGGTTGGGAATTTATGTTTTAAAATAATAATGGGTCTTACAAGTCAATATGCAGGAACCTGATGATATTATTAATAATATATTTAAATAAAAAAATAAGTCAATATGCAGAAAATCAAAGACAAGGAAATAAATTACTCCATCTCATGCCAAAAAAAAATATTTTCTTAGCAAGACTGTGAGTTTGTTTTTTATTTCATCTCTACATTTCAAAGATGAAGTATGAATTTCCTTCCTAACAGAAAACATGAGTGAGCAAACTATGGCCTGCTGTTGAATACAGTCTTCTGCCTGTTTTGTATAGCCCATGAGCTAAAAATGGTTTCTATATTTTTGAATGGATACATTTTAAATGGTTATATAAGTACTTATATAATATCCTTGACTACACCTCTGGACCCATAAAGCCTAAGAGATTTAGTTTCTGCCTGGTTAAGAAAAAATTTACTAATGCCTATTGTAAATTCTCAAATAATAAATTTTATAAGTTTAGAGTACTATGCAAATAACTATGAATGCAGCAGTAATACACAAAGATGCTGATAACTTAATGCTGATAACATAAAAAAATTCTGCAGTAAGGCTTTACATTGAATTTTCAAGTTCAATATGGAAACAAAGGTGGTAGTTGGAAATTTTTTAAAATATGACTATAGAGACAAAACCACCAAATGTAATTTGTGAATTTTGGTAAGATTCTGGTTAATAATTATAAAATACATTTGGAGGACAATCGAGATTATATAAAGGGATTCTTGCTAATTTTGTGTAGAATAATGTATGTTAAAATATTTAAGAGTGAAGTGTTATGATGTTTTTAAATTATTTCAAATGGTTAAACGTATACACACATATATGGATAGGTAAGGCACAATTGGCAAAAATCTTGACAGTGAGAGTGGATCATTGTACTATTTTTTCAAATTACCTTTATAAAATTTAATTTTTTTAAATAAAATAGTTGAGGAAAATATGCTAGTTTAAATAATATCGAATATCAATAATCAATCGAAAAGCAAAGAGCAAAATGATTAAGAGGCAATATTGTTGTACTACTAATATTGAGAGCAGAGGGAGGTTGGAGAGTCCACAATAAGTTATGTCTGTTCCTTCCCCATCTGCCTAAACACCATCTTTTCTTCTGTGATAGTTAATATTTCACTTGAAAGAAAATATATTTTTTAATTTTTAACATTCAATTTCATAAAATGGTATATGAAAAGTTTTTACTAGGTAATTATCATGTAAAATTTATTAGTAGGTAATTATCATGTAAAACCCATTTTCTCAATGAAGAAACGTAAACATTTACCATTTGGTAGGATCTTCGGATGACGATTCATTCATAAAAGTGAAGAATAAACACCTTGGGTGATGCGTGCAAACAACTTGGCCGTGCTTGGTGCTTGGTGTAAAAACAGTAATAATGTCTCCTCCTTGAAAGCAGATGTCTTTGAACAGTTTTGTCACACATTCTGTGATGCAATACATGGCACGTGTTATTTTGGATTTTAGTGGGAACATATCTAATTCGGTAATAATGTCACAAAGGCAAGCAAAGTAGGTTTACTTAACAGGAAATATGCCTGAACTTGGGAAATCAGGGCAATCAATATTTTATGTTATTTTATTGGATAAGCAGCCTCGGATAGAAAAGAAAATCACAAAATGACACATTTGCCTCAATGGAATTGTGCTTATGAATGATTGTCTTATAGACGTGTGTACTTTGTGGGTACTTAAATCATTTCTCAAACCTTTACTGGTGGAGTCTGGAGAAACATGGCAGAGTGAGAGACGTCCTCAGATCTCTCCCCTTGAAACAACAATAAGCTGAACATCTAAAACTCAACAAAAAAGATCCAATCTGCACACTAGCACATCTGAGCGTGGGATCTGCACATAAGAGCTACCATAGGTCAGAACCCCAGGTATTGGGCAGTGGACTGGAAGAAGTAAAGAAGCTGCTTCTCACAGCTGCAGAGCTCCCTGTAGTAGGAAGGGAAGGGGAGAAAGTGCAGTGACTTCCCTGAACAGCCCTGCCTGAGAGTCCTGTGAGCTCCACGTGGCCAGCAACGGGGTCCAGTCATCAGGGCAGAAAGCAGAGAAGCAGAACAGCAGAGAAACAACAGTTGATTTTTACCAGCTGCAGTTGCAAAACTGAGACTGAGATGCAGCTCCCAACTCCCAACCCAGAAGGCCCCTAACCCCATATCCTCCAAGACCAAACACTGCAGAGCCCCAGGGGAATCCGAGCAAATGCTATGGAAACTGTCCTTAACACTGACAGAGACTGAGCCTGAGGGTAGTGAGCATGATTAAACATCTACAAGGGAAAAAAAGGCATTATTAAGGTGTTATATAAAGCAGCGATCCAAGAGGCTTAGTCGCCGCAAACTGGAAACCTAAAGAAAAGTGCCTTCTTTGCAACAGGCTAAAGAGAAACCTTTATATAATAAATCGTCTTTCTGGAAAAAGCAACAAAATACACTTCCACTAATGCCCAAGCAGAGGAATAGTCCATTAAAACCATGAACAACCAAGGTGACAAGGCATCTCGGGAAGAGAAAAATCTCCAGAAAATAAGTTTACAGACATAGAAATATGTGACTTAAATGACAGAGAATTCAGGATGGTACTTCTGAAAAAACTCAGTGAGATCCGAAATGATTCATATCAACAATTTCAAGAATTGTAAAAACAACTAGATGAGCAGAATGAGTTCTTTAGCAAGGAGATTGAAACCCTCAAAAAGAACTGAATAGATCTTCTGAAAATTAAAAAAACACACTGCAAGAGTTGAAAAATGAAATAGCAAGCTTGGGAAATACAGTTGACCAACTGGAGGAAAAGATCAGTGATATCAAAGAAAGAAATCTAGAAATAAATCAGAAGGAAGAAGAAAGAAACTGAGGAATGAAAAATAATGAAAGAGAAATACAAGAACTAGTTGACACCATCAGGAGAGGAAACATAAGAATAATGGGCATTATCGAAGGTAAGGAGAAGAAGCAGGGACTAGAAAGCATTTTCAGACAAATAGTTGACAAGAATTTCCCAAACCTAAGGAACGAGCTAGAGCTTAGAATTCAAGAAGTCAATGGAACACCTAATTATCTCAATTCAAAAAGGCCTTCACCAAGACACATTGCATTAAAATTATCAATAACCAATGACAAAAACAGAATTCTCAGGGCAGACAGGGAGAAGAAAACGGTAAC